TTCTTTAACTCTGAAACTGCAGTATGAAATAATTCAGTAAAATGGTCCATATAGAGTTCATCACCTTCTCTATTACTGAGTATCCCATTTTCTCCACTGTGTAAAAGTGTAACTGAGATTAATGTGTAGAACTCACTGCTAGAGTGTCGTACTCAGGAGAACTGGACTGAGGGTCCAGAGCTGTGTACGGGTCATCAGGAGTATTGGACTGAACAGCCTGTGGTGGGAGAGAAAGAAAGAAGGAAGCAGAAGAGGAGAAATTAACTGACTGGGAACAGAAGGTCTGCAGATCAGACCTTAAAATAGCACCTTGGACAGCAGCCTGACCTTTTTACAGTGACATCCCCAAACATTAGACCTACACTGCCATCTAGAGGAAGAGATGTGTAATCACAGACACACTCTAATAAAACTGAATGTCCTACTCACCACTTTATCATGTTTATCAGCTTTTCTGATCTGCATCATTTCTGCATTCTGCATTTTCCTTCTGCAAAAAAGAAAAACAAATACATAATAATACAAAATAAAACGTGTTTATGTATGTCCCTTAAATAAAGAGGGAATTCAAACATATTTTAATATCTGGTCTTATTATGGATGACAAAGAACGGTTATATATTATAGATCAATAAACAAACCTCATCCAGAAAACTACGGTGAGCAGAGCTGCATTTCTACAGAGACTGACTCCAACAACTACATACAGAACCACAGAATACAGAACCACTGAACCACCTGCTGTGAAACACACACACACACACACACACACACACACACACACACACACACATACATACAAACACACACACACACACACACAAACACACACACACACACACACACAGAAAAAAATGCAGAGCAACATTAAAAATATGATCATTTATCATTTTGAAGGTGCAGTTAATAAACAAGTTGATCATTATGCAGTAAAGAGAACTTTTAGAAAACACGTTTTAAACAATGACATATAAGCAGGTTTCTCACTCTTTAATTCGACTGGCTCTGGAGCTGATCTCTGAGCTCCATGTTGATTCTGAACCTCACAGTATTGAGATCCACTCTGTAGAGACAGCAGCTCTAAACACAGTGAATACGGTGAACATTTACAACTTGATGTTCAGTGTAACTCTGTATTTCTACATCATAGACTTGTACAGAGAAAATATCCAGTGTGCTGCTGTAGTGATGATGTTACAGTAGGATCTGCTGACTCACCTACAATCATGAGCAGAAAGACCAGAGGAAGAGGAGGAGCCATTCTGAGTGACCTCACAGCGAAATACAGCAGAGTTTCAGTGAGCTTCAAAAATGAGATATGAATTTACAGTTTAAAGTCACTGAGAGAGCAGAAAGATGGAAACATAAGAAAATACTAATCAAAGCGAATACTGTCTCTTCAATTTGTCACATGTCAAAGAAGATATTTTACAAAGGAATGCATATTAAAAATAAGCTCTTCTTACCTTGATATACTGAGCGTTATCTACACTGTGAGAACAGCAGTGAAGACAGAAGAAACATCTCTGAGGTTTTAAGCTGTTTGAGTAAATGTGGTTCATTTGGCTTTTGTTCTTTTGGTCTTTTTGTATTTTTCTTCTGCTTTTTTGCTCCCTTGTTCCCTTCTTGTGTAACAGCAGGTCAGTCTAACACCAGCCCTCTTTAAACTTTAAGTCCTAACCAGCTTGCTGTAGTGCAGTGAAGCCAAATACTCTTCTAGTTACTAGTGCCCTCTTATAACCTACAGACTAGCTTATTAATGCTTATAACCAGTTTGTTATTGTGTATTATCCAATAAATGGCTTATCTAGCACTGTATTTACCTTTTCAAGGCATACTATAAGGCAATATAAAGCGTGCACACATGTCCATTAGAATGTGAGTGGCTGCTTCTCTGGTGAGTGAGGAAACATGAAAATGAGCAGTATGTCAAAAATAAGCTGATAGCGTGTAAGACACAGATTCTTGTTCTATTAGAATTCAGTTAACTCAGCCTACTGAACACTGAACAACACTGTTTATTATTAACTGTCTGAGTGTTGGTACCACCTGTGCCATTTGTGTTGACTATCCTCAGGTGCTCGCGAGTTCAGTTCCTGGTGGCACTGGATGTTGGAGCATTCTCCTCCAATGTCCAATGATGTTCCGTTAGTAGCAGTTCAAAAAGATGAGATGCCACTTCACAGGTCTCTGTGGAAGCTTGTGCTTGCCTTCACCCTCCTGTAATTGGGGGAGTCCTAACCATTGGGTGGAATGGTTAAGGCAGCTATACTCCACCTGTATTGAGACGGGCCAAGTGCACATGCGCTGAGTGAGTCATCAAACGTTCAACCTGGTGAGAATGGTGCTTAGAGCTGCTTCTGGAAACTCCGGGAAGTGTCAAAACGCATTTGGTGAGTAATGCTTGGTTTATAGACCACTGTAGTCGTGCGTCATTCTGTAGTCCTCATTATGCCCATATTAGGAACTCCGGGTCTGAGCTCCATTTCTCTATGGCCAGAATGAATAGGGTTTTCGAAAAATCGTCTCTATCGCCCCCTGTGTTAAATACAAATGTTCAAAACCTGATATGTTTCGTTCTGTGAACATTTTTCTCCCGAATATCACTGGATCCTCCGAATTACGAGGTGCTGGTGTTAAAGTTAAAACAGTAAGTCAGTTATCCTAACTAAACTAAGGTATGATTTGGTGCTGCCCTGTGCTTTTACATGCTTAAATTCATATAGCTAAAACAATTAAGTTAGTTCAATGTTCAGATTTTGGATTTCAGCATCTGTTGTATAAACTGGACTGGAGGTCAGTCAGACTAATGTTTCTGAATTCTCCCTCCCTCATGCTCCTTTCTACTTTAATAATAATGATAATGACTTCTATAATAACTTACAGTGCTGTTACTTCTGATACAAAAGTAATTTAAAATCTAGTACAAATATTGATTGAAAACTTTGAATATTTATTAAGTAATATTTTACTAAGAGCCTTTCTGCTTTTACTCTAGTACAGAAGTTGTGTACTTTGTCCACTCTGCTGCTCCTGGCCTACCAGGAGAGGCAAGGATAAAACCCTGTCTGCATAAACCAGAATTTCTCAGCTTTGGAAGCACTATCTACTGGATTTGAAAGGCTTGTATGCTTATGCAAATGCAGTTAGTCAACATAAATATGCCTGTATCTGTTTCAATTATTAAAATTAGTATTTTAAACCTTTACTAAATATATTGTCTTCCTACAGCCATCCATCTGTTGCTTCTGGTTCTTGCCAGATGAGGACTTACAGCTTGTCCCAGGTACTTTTATTTATAGTAACATTTGTAGTGTCGGTCTTTGGATTATTAGTACATATTTCTTTACATATATAACTACATCTGTAGCACAGCATATTGCTAATATTACGTATTTGAAACAAGGGCTCACCTGCTTTGCTTTTTTTTACTGGCTGCTGTTCTTTTAGGATCATTTATAAGCTAACTCTCATTTATCTGGTGAGTGTTTATTACTAATTTTGCTTTTTTAAAATTTTAGATGCAGCCATAAAGAATCCACAATTACAAGCTGCAGGTGACAATAAAAGTGACCAGAGACCTCCACATATGTTAAGTGCAGAGTATATTTAACATTGAAGGGTAGGGATCAGATGTTCATCCTCTGTCTGCCTCTCTCTATCACATATCTATATGTATACATTCACTGGACACTTATACACTAAATAAATTTAACTAGTCTGTTTGCATATGACATCACATTACTGCGTTGCTGTGACAAGAACTGCAGACAGAGGTCAGGAAGTGATTTTCCACATAGGAGGCCTGCTGCACCATTTAAGGTGGAATGCATAAACTGGTGAAAAAGAGGCTGCTGTGGGCGGTCACTAGAGTGGAGGATTGTATTCTGCACAGTTCGTCTGTGGGTGTGTACCGGTGATAAATTTAAAAAATAACTATAAGCAACACCACTAACAATTAAAGCGGAGTTAACGGTTAAACAAACGACAGGTGAGCATAAATTATTTAACCTGTCATGCAATTGCAGTGAGCTCCAGTGACTTCTCTGTCTTGTTCCGCAATGATCCACATAATCACTGGCATTAGTTGAGTAAACAACCATAACATTAATGTTGAGAAGCGCTGCAGCATTGAATGTTTGTTGCTAGGTTAATCCACAGGACGATAAAAGAAAACCAAACAACAGTCATTTTGAAGCACCTTGGTACTGGGGTTGTGGACCCAACTGCCAACAAAAAGGTTGTGTGCCTCAAGAGTTTTATATGCTTTCATTTGCTTTGAGTAGAAGGATCTCTGGAGGAGTTAATTGCTTATCTACTGCCTCAATAGCAGGCAAGGCTTTCAGTTCAGTTTAAAAGTCGCTCACTTCATAACAAAAGGATCATGTTTATCTTTTTATAGTTGTTTTATTGTATGTTTAATATATATATATATATATATATATATATATATATATATATATATATATATATATATATATATATATATATATATATTCACTTTTTAAATGGTTTTAATGTAGTAGGAGTTATATTCTTTATGGAATCAGCCTCTGCCTCCTGTCGAGTGACTGGACCAAGAACAGTTTTCACCCAATTGAACTTTTTTGTATTGGTTATGGTCGGTGATGTAGGAAACGTTTTTGGGGAGTTATGTCACAGCCCAGAAGTTGGTTGCTCTTTTCATTTCATTTCATTTCATTTCATATTTATTTGGTATGTAAAACTGTCTCGCCTTTGTTGTTCGCTATGACCATTCTCCTATCCTTCCTTAGGAATATTTTCTAGGAAAGAGAACAGACTTTAAACTACAACCTTTAATCTTGTCCCTCACCTTTAAAAGAGACTGACACTCCAGCTGACCTCTGAGCTCCATGTTTATTCTGAGCTTCACAGTAGTACAGTCCAGTGTGGTCAGCAGTGATGCTGATGATGCTGTAATTCTGTTCAGATCCTATAGGTGATGTTCCACCTTCTTTAAACCAAGTGTGGATCTTCACAGGTGGGTTTGCATCACTGCTGCAGGTCAGAGTCACTGAACTGCCCTCCACTATTTCACTAGAGGGTCTGCTGGACACTGAGACACTCTTTGGAGGATCTTTGGAGGATGATAAAGTTTTTTGTTTTTTTTTAATGTCAGTAGTGTTTAGTAATCTCATGAAAATAAATGTTAAAACATTATTTGAGGTTTATCAAGTGATATTTATCTGGTTATACCCTTTCTGTAAATATTGGTAAGTATTTTTTTTATTTCTTTCAAGTACAACAACATTTAAACTCACATCTGACTCTGAGGTTGTGAGCAGTAGATTGGAAATGCTGATATCCTCTTACAGCACAGCTATAACTGCCTGCATCCTCACTGCTGACTGTCTGCAGGTGGAGCTGGTTGTTCTTGATGGTCTTTGTGGTTAAAAGACATCCATTTTTGTACCAGATGAATGTTGGGTCAATCAGACTGCAGGTGGTTTTACAGGTCAGATCTGCTGTTTCTCCCTCTGTCACTTTTTCAGAAGTTTCTACATGGATCTCTGAGATAATAAGAGGAACATCAGATTAGGAGAGGAAAGATGTAAAGACATTGAATCTCATTCATCAAAGTTAGTAATGAGTGTATAAATGAGTGCAGATGTAACTAAACTGAATGATGTTTGATCTTCTCTGCTTCTGATTCAGGAAACTGTTGTTTGTCGATGTAAAAAGCAGTGATTTGGGTGCAATTTATAAATCATCTTCAGTGCATGGAAAAAAGCAAGTAGTTAATTTACATATCATTTGCAACAGGCAACCTCAATTTGCCCTTATGAATAATAAATTTACATAAAACAGTGTTCAGCATTTCATGGGGTGGAGGGGGGGGGTTGCTTTTGGGATTGAGTAGCAGGTCCTCTGCTCCCCCTAGTGGCCAATGAATAAACATATTTATGTGTTAAAAATTAACGAATTGAAATGGATAAAAAGTGAAAGGAACAAAATGTAGCCCTTTTTCAGCTGGAAAAGTGGTTTGATTCTGTAGTGTGATTATTTTATAACATACTCTGGCTCCTTCAGTGATGATATTGCAGTATATGAGCTTCTACTTTAGTAGATATGTTTCGTATTTTATTAAGTTATTTGCTATATTTGTAGTATAAGGCAAAAGCCTTTAAATGGAATGTATACACAAAGCACTTGTTTAGATAACTGTATACAATAAAAAAATACATCTACTTTAGTATCAGGATTGCTGTGTGCAAAGTTATTAGTATTACCTTTTTCTTTTCAATTTCAAAAATTGATGTTATTGACAATAATCCAGATCAGGCTGTTAAAATGTTATGCCTAAATTTCCGTACACTTCTACCACACATGAGGTTAGTTGTACAGATACAAAACATTTGGTGAATTTGTCAGTGTTCATTTTTCTATCAGATTTGATGTCACAAAACTTTGTTGAATAAAGGCCAATGAGAGGAGGATCAATAAATATTTTAATATATCATCCTTGTATCTCTGTTTTTGCATGTTTTTCTTTTTGAATAATGTGAAATGTACCCTTTGCATTTAGTAAAATTTCAATTATTAAAGGAGCAACAGAAATAGATTTTGAAAAAAAGTACATTCAATTTCATTAGAAGTGAAGGATTTCTCTTCTGTAAATTTACCATTCTGAAGACACAAGCGTTTTAATAATGATGATTTGTGTGTTATTTATAACATTTGCTGAATATTTGCTCTTAAGGTTCATAACTGATCTCAAAAAGAGTAATTTAAAAATAAGCCATCATTTTAAAGTATTAATTTCTTCCATGATTTGTCAGTGATAAGCTGAAAGAGAAAATGAACAGATAAACTGATACAGGTGTAAGAACAGATAAAATGATGTAGGAGTGAATCAGAACAGAAGCTGAACATCATTAGAGCAGATTAATAAAATCAGTGATAAAAAAACAACATGAATATTCAGAGCAGTCATGAATAAGAAACATTACTCTGAAACCAGAGCTGTGTCTTATAGCTGGACAATGGGATGATTAACTCACCTGGAACTCTGAGCTGAACTCCAGGAAAACCTGACCATCTTTCTTTTTCTACATTTGTTTTGATTCTGAAGCAGTACTGATGTTCATCCTTCTTCATTACATCACTCAGTTTGAGGGAGAAGTGTTTCTGTTCATCAGTGAAATACTCAACTCTGCCTGAATAACCTGGGTTTTTACTCAGATCAGTCGGCTCCACACCCTCAACTGGGTGTATGGTCCAAAAACTCTCTGTCACTGTAAGATGTTCTGGGTGAGTATAAGCTCCATTTATAAACACTGTGGATCCTTTTAAAGCACATATTTCCTGTTGGTTGTACTTCACACTCCACTCCAGCTGATTACAGAGTCTGGAGCCCATAAGACAGTCAGAGTTACTGTAGCTTACAGCTTCACTTCTCCCCTCTCTAACTCCAGCAGCTACTCTACAACACTGAGCTGATTCTGAGAGAAACCACAAACCACAACAAACACTGACTCACCAACAATCATGAGCAGGAAGATCAGAGGAAGAGGAGGAACCATTCTCAATGATCTCATCACAGCAGCCTGGAGGATATTTTTAATTAATGACAGTTAAATTAAATGTTTCCAGATCTTCATCTAACGTCCTCAAGGAGTCAAAAACGTTAAATGATGACACTGTAATGAACTCATTTAATCAATGTTATGGTAACCTGCTTGTGAAAAACAAAAACTTATTCCATTTTGAAAACAGCTAATAAAGTGACATTTCTGAGTATTTATGAGATCTCTCTTGAGCAATATATCAATATATCAATATATCATCTTATTCATTTAGAGCTATTCTCCCACCACGGTGTAGAAGTATACTGTAAGCCTGTATAAGCTGAATTTACTTAAAACATTTGTTGCCTTAAAAAATTAAGTAATGTGTAATGAAAACATGAGTTAGATTCAGTATAATTTTTGTGTTAGGCTAACATAAATACATGTTTGTGCAACTCATAAATTCTAATTATTTTAACTTAACATCTGCAGTTTAACTATATGTTTCATTAGGCAATTGAGAATTTTTTTCTAATTAAGTGATATTGACCACTTTGCTAAACACAGAAGGGTTAACCTTTACTGTGAACTTGGTCACTGACCAACACAAACACCCACTCATCAGCAAAGAGAACGATAACCTTCACTCTTAGCCAACAACACAATGTCAGGCAGCTGAGTAAAGCATTTATAAGACATATATGCCTGAGGAAAGGCAGCCTGGGTGGAATGAAAGCACACTGATGGTGAGTAAAACAAAGGAAAGAAACACCCAATATGCAAATAGATGGAGCCAGAAGCCAATGGGAAAGAAATATGTGTTTTATCTGATAAAATTGTGTTAATAAAACAAACATGTAACTGTATTTTAGAGCTTATTTAGCTTCACTCAGTTTCACACATTTGTTCAGCAACTTTAATGAGAAAGAAACAATTAAAACCAAAAGAAATGTCATCATTTTTTGAATGTGGGGTTTCTAAGTTGCCGTAGCAACAGACTAAACTAAATAGCAATAAGTTAATTCACCTCAAAAATGGCATGTGAGTGTACAAAAATGTTCCCTTAATCATGCTAAATGATATACTACCTTGTAAAAACTTGAGAATGGCTACATTGGAAATATCAAGTCTGCTCTTCAAGACAAAATATAAACAACAAACTTGCAACTTATTTAACATTTAAAGCAGTATCTGTAGTTCACAGCAGACTGAAAATGGTACCACTGACTAAAACTTCCAGCAGGCTAGCAATGTCCTTATAAACGTTAGAGGAAAAATTATACGCACTATTCTCCATCTCATAGATTAAGTGTCTACTCATCTTTTTTGCCAGCTAAACAGTATTAAAGGTGGAGCACCAATGTGATGCTATGCAATGTGATATGTCAAAAAATGGGGTTGTTAAATATTATTTTATTTCATTTCACTTTATTTGTTCCTTATTAACTTTGCGACGAAGGTGGGATCCGAGATCTGCAAGGTTTTTCCAGTTTTTTGAGACGTCTAAAGCTGTAAAAATCCGCTGCAGTTTGACGGAAATCGAGACTCTAGTGACGGTCTGCTGCTGGCTGATCCTGTGCTGTAAAGACGATGAACCTTCACCTCCTACACTAACGGTGAGTGAAAGAAAGCTCAAAACACAGCACACACAGCCAGAGCAGGAGTGTTGTCTGTCTTATATGTAGTTTCCTCCATATGATGTGTATGGAGAGGTTGCAGGACTTATTCCTGTTGGACGGCCGTAAATCCGGTAGAAAGGTGTTTCTGACCGGTGGACAGTTTTTAGACTGTTCTTTTGGTAGATTGTCTCTTCCTTTATCTAGGGAAGGCGCAGAAATATATAGAAATATTTTCTGGTCTTTACACAAGCAATGGCGTTTGCTTTGAATTAGGTGTATCCTAGTTCCTTAGTCCCTGATTAGAGGTTTAAGGTGGCGCCCTTACTCGGGGAAGAGGTCAGATCTACTTTATTGTTTTGTGTTGTTTTTGTTTTGTAATTGTGTAAGTTTAAAATATTAGCACTTAAAATGCAGAAATTCTGTTTTTCCAGAAGTATGGCTGGTTCCACTTCTAGTAATACAGAATCCACATCTCCCCAATATGCAGACAGAAGTGCATTTGAGGTAGATTTAACAAAAATGCTAGACAAATTTTGTCTAAAAAGAAGGGCTAAGCTCTGTAAAAAATTCGATCTTCCAGAAAGTTCAGAGTGGAGTCAGGAGCAGTGTTTCACAGTTCTTGCTAAATGTGTGAAAAAGAAAGATTTTGAGGGGGGTGTTCAAGTCTTCAGACAATGGCATGCTTTGCTTATGGGAGAACAACGTTCCAAAATTGAACAATTAAAAGAAGAATGTGCTAATCACAAACGTGCTGCTATCAGTGCACAGAAAACCTGTGAAAATACACAGCGCTCGCTTGTTCTCCTTGAAGCAAAAGTTGAGGTTCTAGAAAAAGAGAAAGATAACAGAGCAAAACACCAGTTATATCCATCCTTAGATGAATTTAAAACCAAGACAGGGCAATCCATGTCTTCCAGTGACGTAGAGGATGACACGTTTGACCTCTCTGTACTGGAAGCTGCTCCTGTAGTGATAAACCATGTCAAGTTAAAAGATGGACAGGATAAAGCAACTGTGAAATACAAGCCTCTTCCCTCTGAACAAACTGGTCGCATTGCAAAAGAATTCAACCATCCTAAAGTGATGGGTTTGGGTCCTTTTCTGATGCCAATGACACGCAAGACAAAGCTGCACACAGCTACTTTGGTAAAGAATGTGTCCCATGGTTCCGGGAGTAAGCAAAGCAGGGGAACACATGATAATGTATGCCACTACTGTGGTAAAATGGGTCCTTGCACATGCAAGAAGAAGTCTAAAGCAAAGAGTAAAGTGAGTTTAAGGAAAACTCAATCCAACTCTGTGGGTGGGGCTTTCATTCCCAATGTGAAAGATAAATTTGTAAAACTAATCCAGAAAGCAACTTCGTTTTCTGCCATTCCCACAGAGAAGGATCAATTAAAATGACAATAGCTTCTGTGGGGGCGTATTTATAGCCAATTATCCATGAGCAGGATGATAGATGGTAGGTAACACCTACTGTGAATCATAAACCAGCTAGTTAATAACTTTAGCCATGGTAGAAAGTTCAGTCCTTCACCGTTTTAAGGCTGCTGCTTTGGGTTCTGTGTAACCTGTGGGTGCCTTCAATGGTTTTATGGTTTTATGATGATTTTATTGGTTCAGCTCATGTAGATGTAATTACTGCCAAAGAAGTGGCAATTGGCTTTGCTCTCACAGCTTCTAAAAGTTTCTTAAGTGTTGTAGTTTGCCTTCAAAAGAGTTTGACGCCTCATTGTTAATGATGACAGTAATGTCTGATGCTCAAAATGGGGTAGCTCAATAATGCCAGTTAGTTATGTTACAACTTGGTCAAGTGAATCTTTCCCTCAGCTGTAAATGTCTGTGGTAGAAACCTATGAACAATCCTTAACTGATGAGATTATGTTGAGACATAGCTAAAATCTGTTACAGATATTTGGTCCTGTTGAAACATAGGTTGAAAGGATAGCACTAGCAAACTGCTAGCTGACTCTACAGTGGAGGATTAGGCCATGCTCATCACAGTCTGCCATGTTTATGTTAATGAGTGAGGTTCTGATAAGCATAACATTAGCTCATAGTCTGATAATATTACTAGCATCACCTTAGCTAGTCTGGTTCAGATCTTTTAAAACAGATAAAGATTTGTAAGGAGCACTGTTGGTCTGAGATCAGAACAAAAAGGGAAAATGTAACATTTAACAGCAGAGAGACATTTGTCTTTGTAAGAATTAAAGAATGATGTGTGCATTAGCAAGAGCACATAGTCTATTCCTAAACTGGTTTTGAAGGTATGTAATAATGCACAAAACACAGGAGCTAAGACGAATAATGAAGACTAACTGGGGTAATTGGTACTATACGTTTTACTACAATTGATTTTGAATTCAACAGGTTTGAAAATCTCCAAGAAGGGAGAATTTTAACTGATTTCTGGTAAAACTGAAATTGAAATATAATTATGCATCAGGCCAATCAAGAAGTACATATAAAATTCATTTTCATATGTAGATCTTGACTCAGTCCTGCAAGGGTCTCAGCACACAGTCTCAAAGACTGTAAAATGCAGGATGAGTGTTTTTTCACCACATGCAGTGACCAGGTTTCAGCTAAGCTTCCAAGATTAGGATTTAGTCCATGATTTGGCTGCATTTAGCATGATCTGATGGTTCTTTACAGCTGTTGCGGGTGATGCATTTCTTATATCCTGTTAGAGTGTGAACTTCCATTATGTTTTGAGCCTGTTCGGAAAAAGCATGCAATTTTATTACAAGGCTTTAAGGAAGTTCGACTTGAGTTTTTGGCAGAACCCCCGAAGAAAGTGAGGTGTGACTGAACCTTCAAGGGGGGTGGATGCAATTTGCTCAGGACTGTCATGATAAGAATCACACAGCTGTTTTTTCATCAGATGCTAAAAGGTAAAGGCTGTTGTAAATTCTCTTGGTTAAGGTTGCAGCAGTGTTATGGTCAAGGTTGTAAAGCATGGACACATGCTTCATATTGGAAAATTGTACCACCTCCTTAACTAGGGATACATGGGTGGCCTAACTGGAAGGGCTTTGGGGCAGAACTGTTGGCTTGTAGGCTGGCAGGGGTGATCCCCAAAGTGAAGATTTCCCATACCTAAATGACGACTAGCGTCTCCACACTTCCAGTTAGGACCTTAGGACCCAAAAGGTGAGGTAGGGTCAGACTGGTGGCACAAAATACAATGTTAGAGCAAACATCCACAAGTATATTGTGTGTACTATGACAACAAGATACTGCTGATGGTATTTGTGTTTTACAGCTACCAGAAGTGGAAAAACCTCCAAGAACCACACAACCTGAACCAGCCAAGAATACTTCCAGGTCTACTCACAGATGACCATTTGAGTGTTCTACAAAGACAATATCATCAGTCATCAAGACATCAAA